TTCTTGATGTTTAGATAGAATTAGCTCTAGCTGTTTGATTTTCCTCAGAAATCCCAGCGATTGTTGGCCATATCTCATCTGTTATTAGATCTGCTTGGGAACTGCGTCACTGAAAGGTTTGTGAATAGAAGATTATAAATGGCTCTGCATTGCCAGAGTGGTGTATCGCATTAAACGCTGATGAATCATGCCAAGCACAAAGATTGTGTGATTTATGAATCTTAAAGCAGAATTTTGACATTTATCTTTACAAAGCTCCCCTGCCTTTAAGGAGTATGTATATTTTAGGTTGGTATTCATCAACAAATATTCTCCTTTTATTGGAACTAATTTTGCATAGCCAGTCACTGCTTAGACATTTGTTTTAATCCTTTGTTTCACCAGTAAACTGAGAACAAGATCTCATAATGAAATCATACCATGTTGACTTGTAGACCTTTTTATACACCAGTGCATTTACTGGTGTAAATAGAGGAAAGTACCTTTCTCAGGGGTACAGCAGCATGGCAGCTGGGATTTGAACCCATGACCCTCTAGTCTGTAACCCCACTGCCATAAAAACATATTCTCAACTCTTCGTTGGTATTATCACTGCTTCTCAGTATCTTAAATACTTTATTAAGCCCCATCTTTTCAAGACTAAAGAGATTCACCAATTTTAATCTGACTGTGTGAGACATTCCATGAAGGCCAGGAATTAACCTTCCTGTCCTTCCCCCAGGTCCTTCCTGCACTGTGACAGGTGACTGTCCTGCTGCAGCAGAGCCTTTCCTGCAGTGAACACACCTAACTAGACAGCCTTCGCATATCGGTCATCCACCTGTGACACAAGTGCACTAACCTCTCGGAGAGCAGCATCTTTGTTCAACTCAGCCCTCCTGGCATCTGTGGGAAAGACAATCTGCCAGCACTCACTGGTTAAGGAAACCTAAGGAATCCATTAAAATATATATTTAAAAAGATGAATTATCGTTACTCACACTTAATTAAATTGGACTAAACCCTTAATCGTCTATCTGGATCAGTTGAGAATACAGCATTATCCGGCTGTGTTTCTAGCCTACATGCTGTAGGACTCGGGCGCCGATTTTGGGCCAGTATGGTCCTTATCTACACTCTGCGAGGAAGTAGTCAATGAAGAGGTTTTGTAGTTTTAAAAAGTGTAGAATTTAGAACGAGGAAAGAAATGTTAAAATTATGCACTGCATTGGTAAAGTTGATTTTAGAGACTGTGTGCAGTTTCAATGATTTTAGTGGGCAAGACAGGCTCAGAGATAAAGAAAAAGAATCTCTTTAGTCTTAATCAGAGGAGTTCAAGGTGGCTTGATGGTAATATTTAAAACTTGACAAGCATTCACTATGTGAGCCTAATGGATTGCTTCAGTTTGGTGCTGATAAGTATTTAACAACCTAGCTTTGTAGCGACAGATGGGTCTTGTCTCTATTTCTGATCATGTAAGTAAAAGGTTCATTATGAATACAAAAGCTTACCAAGATGAGGAAGCTTCCCTTTAGCAGTAATCCAGCTGTTGATAGGTTGTTCGCAAATGGCTGATTAATTATAGAGTTCCCTTCAGACAGTTGTGGCTCAGCAAAGCACAGAAACACAACCTGTCTCACATGAGTTCAGAGGTAACCCTTTTTCAGGCTTTGCTATGGCTGTTGGTTTTACATTAAAGGGGTTTAGATTCTTATCCCCACATCACTTGTCAAATGACTTCTGTGCTGACTGATGAAAAGCAGCAAACCCAACTGCCAGAGAGACTTGCTACATGAGCGCAGTGCCAGCACGCTGACACTACGTTTTGAAGGTTGTTAAAAGAAATTGGGCTGCGGTGTTAAAATAAGTGTAGCAGTGTATCTCTTCATCAGGAAGCCAAAGTAATTTCTCAGACTACTGAGCTGATGGCTTATCTTAATTCAATTTAATTCTGCACTGCCATGCCATGTGCAGCTCAATAAAAGTGTGAAACGGAACTTGATTAAACCCCTTGAAAAGGTAGTTGCATCAGTTTCCTATTAAAGCTTTTGTTGAGAGTTTAGGTTGAAAAAGCTCAAAGCATGCAAGAAGCTATCACTTTGATAGAGCTGGTATTTTTCCAATTAAAGGTAAAAAAGAGTAGTTTATTTGGAGTGTGCAGTTTTTAATTTGTGTGGGACCAGCGTGTCTTTGACTGTTGCTCTACTGCTGTGTTGTTGAAGAAATTATCATCTCTGTGAAGAACGTCTGTTCTGGTGCATCAATACAGGGTAATATTCACCCTTTCGTGAATGAAGGTGATGGAAGACCAATTAGTCTGCTTCTTTAACTGGACTAGACCAATCAGTCTGTCCAAGGATTAGAACTGATTGTAAAGGTTTTGCCAAAACCTAGATTTAAGTATGTTTGAAAAGGCTGATGTAGGCCATATGAAACCTGGAGTGAAAAGCATGTTTAACAAATGCCTATTCTAAACAAATTTGAAATTTCCTTTAAAAATTCAGAAATGCCATACGAGCTTCAAACAGTTGCTCATCCAATGTCCTGTGTCAAGAGCTGTGATTCTCAGTGTGCTGGTAAATCTGATTGATTGTTCTTCCTTATGTAATGTGATTTTGCTAGTTGTTTACATCTGGAAGTTTTTCAGATTGCTTCTAAATTGCAGTCTGCATTGAAAGCTGCATTGTATTGAAGCGCAAATCTTCTATCTACTTTTTATTATTCCTAAATTTGTCGTTTTGACTGAGAGACAAGACTGCGCCTAGCTTCTCTTAAAATATTAAAGAGGGTAGGGGGGTTAAAGGTGTGAGTAATCAGGCTGTGCCAGTAACAGATTCCCTGGAGGTCCTCTGATCTGAGAATGAGCAGCAAAGCTCAGTATTCCTTTGTCTTTGCAGAGGCAATGAGAGTCATTATCACACAGGCTCTCATCTCCTATTACCTGTAATGGGAGCTGACAGTTTATTTATTCAGCACTGGCAAGAGTCCGCAGTGCCTTCTGCTGATCCCGTGTGAAAACACACAACTCCCTGATGCGCACGCCCCCGGAGCGAAAGGAGAGCACGTCGTCGAGCGCTGGCAGAGCCTGATGGTTTCAAGACTGATCAACACAAGCTGCACGATGGCTCCCTCTCTCTATTAGTGTAGCCTTTCTTTTGCACAGACATTTTTGGATGAAGGAGGTAATACACTATTGGAAGGTCTCTGGGTCAAATACTATCATCTTTAATGATTTTTGCCAAGAATATCCATCAGTTTTCTTACCACTTTGTTCAATTCAAGGTCGCAGGGAATCCTAAGTCTTCTGGCAAGCAGCGAGTGCAAGGCAGGATACACTCTGGATGTGATGCTAGTCCATCATAGGACACACATACATACACTCACACCAGGGCCAATTTTTTTCTGTTTTAATACTTCAATACCTGATGAATTAAGCACTTCTTAAGCAGTTTTTAGAACTTTTCCTCCTTGTTGCTTACTTATGGTTTTAAACTTGACTGTAAAGTATTTATAAAAGCTTGCTTAGCATAAAAGTGTATAAATAATGTATTACATTGTTATCACATTACAGTGTATTTTTAAAAAAGTTTATATAATCATGTCTGTATTTGAGTACTGATATTTTAAGGGAGTGAGTTTAAATATATTTCCAGTAAGCGTGTTTATAATTATACATTAATATATTAGACATACAGTACAGTAAACATGCAAAAATAGAAATAAAGATTTCATGATGTGATGATTATATCCTTATTAAGTGTGCAAGCTCAGAATTCATGAAGCCTAAAAGAAGATTATTTAGCTGTTGCCTCAGATTTGATAAATCATCACTCTCTTGGTTATAGAAATGTTAAAAACTGATTCCCAGTACTGTTAAACGAGTCTTTTGACCCCAGCAATGCAGATCCCCACTTACACAGCTGTGTGTGCTGACTACACTTTGCCCCATTCAAAGGACGAACCCAGGGTCGTTGAATGGAAATGGAAATAAATAGATTTCCAAATGGTTATATTGGGATCAAAATGTTTTGTTATGAGAAGATAACTAGTTAAAGTAAATGGAATAGGAAATAATAGTTCGCACTGTGCTATTTTAATTCTTAGTTATAATGGCCTCCTGTCATTTTGTAACCTTTTTTAACTGTACTATAAGTACTCACTAATAAAATTGTATTTACATTAATTCTCATATTGTGTGTATCCCGATAGCTCAAATTTTGTTGATTTGCATGTCCTGTCAAGATTTCTTGCTTCTTTGATCTGTCATTATAACTTATGCAGTACAGGGATTACATTTGGATTAAAGTACTATATTTATAAAGCATGATATTCTCTATTTGCTTTTCCCTTTTAATGTATGCACAGTGGTTGTCTGTTAACATGCCAATGAGAACACAAACATTAAACCAGGGAAGCACATATTTTAGTGAGGAATCTGTGAGAAATGAATAGCACAAACAAAATGTTCATTAGTTGCCCAGTTTTATTAACAAATTTGTACTTTCTTCTCATAAGAATATATTTTCAAGTGAAAGCAACTATTGCTGACAAAGTAAAACATACAGACTTTTTACTAGCAGCCTCTAAATGTTGGCACATTTTTCTATGGGGTCTTTGACATCTTCTCAAACTGTTCAAAGATAATTGAGCACAGAATAATTTGAGAGATTTGCTGCAGCAGTGGAGATAAGACTTTCCTTCCATAGCTGCTGGAAAAATCTAAACGAGCTCAGACTTCAGTTCATTTGAAGACATGTTTCTGTTCCTGTTTCCGAGAATCCTCACAAAAGTTTAAAGTGATGTAGTTTTCCAGTGCCAGGCTCTGTGGGGTTAATTCTTCACAGGTCTGAAAGGAGATATACTGTAAAAAGGACCTAAGGGCTCCAGTTTTTACTCATTTGGTCTGCTCAAGTAAGGATGTTTGACAAAATAGGAATAACATCCCTTTGTGGTGGAAAGCTTTCCTGAGTTCTGAGCAGTCCTGGTTTCTCAGTTTTTATTCTTTCTTCCTGCTTTGAAGGGCTGTTGAGTGTGGCAAAGCTGGGAATCGGGACCACCAAGCAGTCTGGAAGCAGCGGAGCTTGTGATGCCTCGGGCCCAATTCCGAACCCCAGGGAAGGAGCCGGATCACTGCCGCTCCCTGCCGCGGGAGTCTTGACAAGCAGGACCAGTCCCGGGGCTGGTGAGGCACGTGGCCGGCTGGCTGCCCGCAGGGTCTCTGCGGACAGGGGCGCCGCCAGGGGCAGGATGGTGCTTGTGGGCTCCGGGCTGGACAGGAGTGAGCTGGTGAGTCTCCTGACCTGAGCTCTTCCTTCACGCTGTGAATCAGTAAGGCAGTGCTCAGTTTACACAGCCGCTCTGTTCCTGCAAGATGTCTATAAATCAAAATCTTGTAAGAACTAATTTCATATAAAGTTGCATGTGAATATGTGGGTGCTCTATGAGTGCACTTCCACCAGAGAATTGAAATCCCAAGGAAAAACAATTACTTTTCAACTAAATGCTTGTTTAGTGTTTATCGATTTCTCTGAATTCATGGTCAGAGAAGATGTTGGACGTGAACCCGTGAAGTCAGGACACTTCTTTGGTGAAAGTGTCTGCCGTTCGAGGGCCTGGAGGGAAATCTGGGAATGAAGTGTGGGGCTTTAGAGAACAACAGCGAGAATCACAGAATGGCTTCAAGACTGGGGATAACCGGTGATTAAATCTACGGAGATGAGATTACAAAAATGAAGAACAGCATTTATTTCAAATAATCTACTTTTTCATTGCAAATGGAGCTTTTGCAGTTTTGAGGCGTGTGACGGTTCAGTTTGCACAGAAATACAGTGGGAAAATTAAGTCTTTAAACAAACATGTTAAGGAAATCAAGTAAAAAGTATCTAGTAGGTCTTTATTAAAATAAAACTTGAATGCCAGCTGAACAGATAATGTTGTTGGGATATGTCCTGTTTTTTTATTAAACCAACCTCTTAGTGCAACTGATGAGCAAGACTATATGTGGGTCTGAGGAGTCACAGTTGTCACTACATCACTGACCCTGTAAGACGCTCTTCTGTCTCAAATAACACGCAGTATTTATCTATACAGTTATTCACTGTCACTTCTTTAAAAAACCAGCTCTATACATTTTATGTCTATATTCCTGCATGCTGTGAAGTAGTTTGTCATCGTTAGCTTTGATGCGTCGATGATGGGACTTTATCGCTAATGTCGTTATCCCCCTGCTGTTCCCAGCTCAGCGGACAGGGATCCGCTCTGCACGCAAATGCCTGTGCAGCTAGGAGTTACAGCTGGCTGGGGGTTTTTACCATGGAAATGTGTTAAGCAGAAACAGAATCAGTGTATATGTACATAAGTGTTATTTCTGTGCACACTGCAGATCATGGTGCAGAAATTTGCAAGGAAAATGGATGGAACCCTCGCAGCACAGGTGACCCCTGGGACCACACACGTCATCATGAAAACTGGTAAGTCCTTGTGTGTGTAGTTTGCATAGATTGATTTTTGAGTTTTTGGTTGTTGAAAACATGAGAGATACCCAAAATTAGATTTGCTAACTATGAATAATGGTGGAGGCTGGGATATTGGCATGGAGGTCACAGACTTTGTGAAAACCATGATTTTTGCTCGTGTCCATGACTTTCAGTTTCATCCCCATGGCTTTCAAGAGAAGCGTGTTTTGCAATCCAGCAGTTATGCCTACATATTGTGAACCAGCCCAACAGACTTACTGTTGTTGTTGAGCTAATGGCAGTCTGACATTGACACCTGCTAAATGAGTAAAACAGCAAATATCTGCATACAAGCATGATCTGCACAACATTCCCCAAATACCTTCCATGAAAGGAGAGGTTTTCTGCTGTTCTCTTCATGCACCAGTTGATGACACATGTAAAGCAAGCTTTGACAAACGCTTAGAAGCATAGTCCCATAAGTATGAATCAGGAGTGCTTTAATCTGCAAGTGGAGTGAATGAAAACTGCAGAAAACAGTGTCAGAGATGTTTTAGACCAAAACTGATGAATAACTTGAGAACAGACATTTAAAAACTTACTGAAACTTTCTGTGCAGGAAACATTCCCCTGTACACTGCTGACAGCTGGCTCTTAAAAGAGTGTTTTAAATGTAATCTAAAAAACAGCTGAATTGTGCCAACTGCTTCTCAGCTGCAAAAATTACATTTACTGAAGGTTCTTGAAACGCATATAATGAAATTAAAGGAAATACGTAAAGCCTGTGATGGGATGAGAATTGTGCAGAAGACACCTAGGTTTTCAACATACCAGCAGTTCTGAGTGAACTGGAGTGTGAGTAAGAACTGAAATTGGATGTGCTTCTGTTCTAGAAGCTGGTGAACCTTAAAACTGTGAGCCATGCTATACAGGAAACATTAACTAAATACAAGACTTCCTTCCGCTGAATCACTGCTGTTGTGCCAGACAATGCACCTTACGTACATGAGGAAAGACTCTGGAATGGGGTTTGACACCCTTGTTTTCTTGGCACCTTGATCTGTTGCACATGGTTGGTCACCTGTGGTATAAAAAAATGATAGCAAACTACCTGGCTGTAGATGTGAAACAAGTTTTTAAAGCCTGTCCTGCATTCCACCACTTCCAGAAATAACACGGGAACATCTGCTTCAAGGCAGCCTTGTTTCACACACACACCATGCACAGGATGGCCTCTCATTCTTTAAAGAATATTATCAGTCTCACAGTTCATGCACAGCAAAACCAGTTTTTCTTTGCAGTCACCTGGTGTTTATGAGCAACAGAGCATCCTGCAGCAGTGTACACCTCACATCACACAGGCTTGTCCAAACACAGAGTCTAATTCATTAACATGTTGTCACAAATGACATGAGAGACCTTCTGAGAGGATGCCAATGAATGTGGTCACCCAACTAGAAAAGCAGCACTTCGTGACAGCGCTGAAAGCATCTAAACGTGCAGTTCAGCCCTGTACAGCTCAATCAGTTTTATCAACTGCCTCTGTTTTTCTGAATGACTGTCGAGTATTTGATCCACTTGGAGCAAGAAACCTAAACGTGGATGTTCAAGTGTTTCGGGACATTCCATTGTTTGAAGACGGCAGTGTAGCACAACATAAATAATAAGACACAGGAGCCCATAGCCGTGAGTACACCAGCACGCTGATGGCAGACTCATGGCACCTGGGCGCTTCGCAACTGTGAATTCAGAGCTGCATCAGCTCTGGAGGGGAATTTAAGGTCACCTGAAGCCGAGCCAAAAGTGGGTAACTCCTCAAAACAGCACTCCTAAACATTGGAGCAGCTTGAGACAGCCAGTCAGCCTGGCCACCGTCTGAGGGATCAGGTCCTTCCCGGTTCCCGACAGCAGCGCTCCTCTCCGTTTAAACATGCTCTCCTTGTTAGAACGCACGCAAGTCGGCTGCTGACAGGCCTCGGCGGGAGAGAAAAGGAGCTGAGACCGAACAAGTGAAACGGGCAATGAGCCTGGAAGGAAATGCCTCTGACTGAAAGGGACAAGGGGCTGGCCAGAGAGTGGACGAACAGACTGATGGCCCGAGTCACTGTGCCCGATACCTGAGGTGCCAACCGCAGGAGCTGGAGTTTGAGACAGATCTTCAATGAGACACTGAGAGCAGCCCAGACAGCTGCAGGCTGATGAAGAGGTTGTCTGTCAGTTCATAGTGTGAACGTGGGGAAGATTTATTTTTAAATGAATAAAACTGCAATTTCTTTCACTGTTCCTGCAACAAAGATCTACAACAGGATCGCTGAAAAATACTTTTTTCATTTTGGCTTGGCAAAGTCTGGACCAACCCCTGCCTAAGTGTCATGGCAGGACCTGAAGCAAGATGTTCAAGCAAGGATGCCCTCAGTTGTCACAGATGTGAGACAGACAGAAGCAGTGCTGTAACAGATTTATAAAATAAAAAAAGCTATATTTTATGCCTTTTATATGTTATAATGTTTAAACAGGTTATCGCCTTCTGTTATTAAAACTTTCATGAAGATCTAATTATGTTTTAGGCTCAAAATGTACAAGAATATGATTTACAAACTTCTCAGCACTGTGTGTAAGTCAGGAGTTTAAATCACAGTGTCAAATATAGACCCCAAAGAAATCTCATTCTTAAAAAGTGGAATCTGCATATTCTAGGCCCTGTGTTTTAGTGAAAAAAAAGTTTTTTCCCATTACTTTATTCTCCCACTAGAATCTTCAGTGATTTTCAGCAAATCTGCTATAACTGGTTTGTGATTTTTTTCCACATTTTCTGTGATAAACATCCTCGCCCTAATAATAATTAACTCATTAGCATTTGTGGATGTTGTTAAGAGATTCCAGCACAGCCTAGTTTATCATGGACAGCTGCATTACTCTTCTGTCCAGTGCCTAAGCTCAGTGAGTCCTGTGCCTAAAGCCTGATGAACCTCCTCCCTCTTCTGTTACAGTGCTGACTTCCATACTAATTTGTCTGGGGTTTTTAATGCTGTTTTCTACAGAGACACATTTGTTCAGACGGCATTAAGTTCTATGCACTTTTTGCGGAACTGTTTCCGTGGCAACAGGCAAGTGTATTTTCTCGCTCTTGATTGGGGAAACACTAGAAAGAGGAGTCTCTTTCTTTTGCCCACAAGTATTTAACAGCAGATTTCAAAATTGTCATTTTTACTAGTGACTGTGTGTTATCAAAGTAAAAAGAGTAGAGTCCACCTTTGAGCCTACAGGTTAATCTGGCAGTATCACTTAAATGCATTGTTGTTGTGTATTTCAGTAACGGCTTCCTTCTTGCCATCCTGTCATAGAGGACAGATTTATACAGTGCTTGGAATGCACTTTGAGTTTGACTAGTCTGACAGACTTGACCATACCAACCTGTAACTCTTTCAAAGGTGCCTGTGAAAACTGTACTCTTGGTAGACTCTTTGCTCAGTTATTCAGTTTGGAGGGATGACTCGATCTGGACTGGGTCTTGGCGATGCCATATACCTGCCAAGTCTTAATAATCGTCATGACCATGCTTCAGGAGATATGTCCCCTGATCTGTGCCTTTCCACATCTTTGTCCCAGATGTCTTTTGAAAGCTCTTTGGGGCTCATGGTTGCGTCTTTGCAATCTTTGTAATACACTTCCCAGCACATGGAATCTACAGGAACTGCTGAATTAATCCTGATGCTGAATTAATCCTGAAGAGATGTTGCTCACTGCAGTTTAACATAAATGAAGACCAGTTAACTTAGTCCGTGATTTTGAAAGCTATTGCTTATACAAAAGCTTAATTAGAAAGACTATTACAAGGGAGGTGGACTCTTATCCAACAAATGGGGTGGGATGTGTAGATAAATGAAAAATGTTTAATTTTAATTCCAAGCTACAGTATAAGGCACCAAAATGTTAACATTTTTAACAGGGATGTAGACTATACGTCCTGTTTTTCCTGAGACAGGGGGGCGCTAATGTCTGACCTCTCAGAACCACAGGGAGAGTTTGTTTTTTAATCTGTGCCAGATCTTGTTTCCTTCTTTATCTTATTCTTATTTTTTTGGTATGTTGTGTGTTGGGGTACAATTTTTAAGAAAGCTGTGCCGTGAGACATAACTGATCTTATAATAATAATTTCTGCTCTGGCCTCCCCTGGGCACTAAAAAGTAAATATGTATGAAAAATACAATAGGGTATGAATAGAGAAGTGACTATTGTCAGTTGTCATTGCTGTGGGCTAATGGCCTTGCTAACCAGAGTCGCTGATTGGTCTTCCCAGATCCGGAGCTGGTCTGCGAGAGGACACTGAAGTACTTCCTGGGAATCGCTGGGCGGATGTGGGTGGTCAGCTTCCTGTGTGAGTAAAATTCGCTTTCTGCGTCCCTTTGCCCTGCCAGCAGATGTTCACTGTCTCCTAGGACACTCCCTATCCACGCTGTTCTAGTCGCCTGCTCTATATCCACCCAGGAGGCCAGCTGCAATCTTTCCTTCTCACTTTCCATTCTTCTGCAGCGTGGCTGCAAATTCATCTCAAAATGAAATGGCGGATCAATAAACAGTGTGTGAGAGTGAAAGGACAGACCCGTCTTCCCAGCAGAGCTCCTCTCTCTTCCCTCCCGCCTCCCCAGCTCCTCGGCTCAGGCCGGGTCTGTGCCAGATCTGTGCCCCATCGCTTACTCACAACTTTCCAAAACACACGATGCCTGTCCATAGCTTTGGAACATGATGATAATGTCCCATGAAAGCGCAGTTTAATATTTTAATCCCCAGGAAGCAGTTTAACAATTGAGGCTTTGAGTTTGTTAACACAGTATGTTGAAACAGTGAGCTGTGCTTGAGAATGTGAGTCTTCAAAAAAGCACGAGATATGCATGAGAATTGAGCAAAGTCATTTTGTGCTAGCTAAATATGCCTCCCCTTTATAAAAAGTGTGAATCTAAAATATATAACATTTATTTAATAAAAATAAAAAAGTAAAAAAACTTCTTCAATCAAATAATTTAGGGGTGGAAATTATAGGGATGATAACCTGGCAGGGTCTGGCCTAAATAATACAGTATGTACCTTGGTCTTAGCTCAGTGAATATTGATGACACTGCAGAGCATGTTGCTTTTTTAACTGAGACCACTCCTGTCTTTAAACTGTCTCCATTATGCATTTGGCAAGAGCCCTTAATTCCTCTGTGTAAGGTGCCTGCTGTCCTGCTGCCTGGTAGTGCAGGATGTCATTGGTTGTGTCCTGCTCACTCTTTGCTTGTGTTCTGCCTCTCAGGGATCAGGGAGTGCTTCAGGCAAGGACAGCTGCTGGATGAGGTGGGTGATTGCTTACCAGAGTAGTGATGTTTTCAATTGCAAAACTCTCTTTACATTAGGAGCACCCGAGCCAGACCTTCAGAGACCAAAGCTGCCATTCCAAGACTTGCACTGTTTTGATGTCTAGTTAGTCAATCAGTCAAACTCTTCACAGCAGGGAGTACTGGTTTAAGTCTGTACTTAAGTATTTGGGATGCAGAACCAGAGATCCCCCCGCTAGTTCCCATTGAACGTTTTAATTTACTACCATTTGTGTGACGAAAAAAGTCCTGATCCACTAATATGTAGTCAACAGTCCTGATCCAGAGAGCCTTTGCAGCGTGTGTTAGAACGGTCTGTCAGGGCTTCTCAAATGACACAGCCGGTGTCCAACTGCGGCACGTGTCCAGCTGTCCTGTTCTCACAGTGTGGCGCAGCAGCAGAGGGCCATGTAGTGTACCTGTTCAGAGAGGAATGTACTTTGCCTCTTTCTTCGGAGCTGGTACAAGTTCTTTTTACAATCAATATCACAAACAGATGCACATAGAACATGTGATATGGCATATTTCGATTTTACAAAAGGGTTTGATTTGCGCAAGAGATTATTTTTTAAAGTGAAAATGTTAGACTTCTAATGTAATGCATCTGTTTAGATTAAAACTGTTCAATGGATAATAAGCAGAGTACACATAAAAATGCTGAAATAAGGTGATTAGTAGAGAATCACAAGGATTTGTAAAGGACCACAGCTCTTTCTAATTTACACCAGTGATGTAGATTCTGTTAGTATACTAGTCAGGTTCACACATAACAAAATAGAAAGATCAGCAAACAGTATAAAGGCTTGAAAAGGAAATTCGAAGAGGTTTAGGGAAAATTCAAGACTGCATAAATATCTGCCAGCTGACATTTAATGTAGTGCAGAGTGTTATATACTAGTAACAGAAATATGAGCTTTAAAAGATGGGATAGGCTGAGCTTGAAGTTATTCAAGAAGGCATTTGTTAATAATCATAGGTGTTTAGGTTGCCACATAATTTTCATCTTCTGGACAATGTGAAGAAGCAATAAAAGGCAAGCAATGTTAGACTATATAGTCAAAGGTGTTGAATTTAATTAAAAGGTTGGTTTAATGCAGTGCACTAGTAAAATCTTCTCATTCAAAATAATTTTACTTCTGGTTTGGAATTAATCAAAAGAAGAGTAACCAGTTGTATTTGAGAGCTTAAAGGAATGTCCTGTACTTACAGGCTACAAAACCATAACCTTTCTGATCACTAGGTGTATTTAAAATCTTCAGAGATATTGCCAACCCATTGGACATTTTCAAAATGTCAGTAGTGAAACAAAAAGAGAACACAGTGAAAGCACTATTAGGTGAAACAATTACATAGAGATGCTGAAGGTTAATACAATGAACAGTTACACAGTAAAAGCTGTGTGCCTCTAGTATGAATCCCCGTGCTACATCTAATTTAGATATCTAGGACATCTATTTTGTTTAGCTTTTTTGCTAATATAGGTAATTTGTATTTGAACTAACCAGTAAATACCCCTGCTCACAATTTATTTGGATAGTGGTTTGTAGAACAAGTCATTGGGCTGTACAAATACACCTGTTTTCCTGTCACTTTAGGTGGCAAGGACACAGTCAGGCTCTTGACTCCGAGAGCTGTGAATCTTTGAGCTCCACAGTGCCATCAGTACGAAAATGTCACTTCAGTCATGTAGCATCTGGAGAGCTTGGACAAAAAGACTGTGTAGTTCTTTTGACAATGGCCTGAGGGCAGTTTCAGGTTGAAATAGAGAGATAACTGGGCCTGCTGAGAACTTGCTTTATGCACTATGCTGTGTTCCTCAAAAACGGAAATAGTCTTTGGATTATAGCAAGATGCTTACATGTCACCAGCATTTCTTTGCTTCATGTGAGCCAAAGCCAGCTTTGAGCCTGAAGTGAGAAGAAAAGACCTAGCTAGTACCTAGAGGGACCATCACCACAGACTATACTGTTGAAAAGAAAACAGTGCCTCAACAAGAGGTGATGCTTTTCAGGTGACATTTTAAGAATGCAGTAGACTGATATTTAGAAATGCTGCAGTAATTTTCTCCCATTTCCCTCTATGTGCTGGCTAGAGCTTGGTGCTCTGGTGCAGAATGGAGGCCGCCCACATCAGGGCCTTCTTGTGAGACAAGAAGAATGTGCTTGTAAGCTGACATCTATCTTTCCTTGCAAAGTGAAATCCTTTGCTCTCTCTGTGGTGCAGGCTGCCTTCGAGGTGAAAGGAGACGTGATCAATGGCAGAAATCACCAGGGACCCAGAAGAGCTCGGACAGCCACAAGGGAAGAAGTAAGAACCTCAGAGTATTGCGTTGTGGGATCTAGCTGTAAATATAAAAATATCTAAATACATCTGTTTCAAGAATCACCATAGAGACAGTTTTGGATCTTTTAGCTAATTCTGTAGCAGAAATTAATTGGACAGAAAAGCTGTGTAAACTTTAATCATTACAAAGTCTGTGTTCTCAAAATGACACAATAATCAGTAAATCAAATATCAGAGATATGTAGCTGATCTTAATCTGCCGTCTTCCTTTTAGTCACACTGATACAGAAGTTAAAGCATTTAATGCCAGCTGTCTGTTCTTCTTCCTACATATTTCAAACAATTCTTAATCTTCATATGGACCCAACAGTTTAGAAGAAATTACAGATAAAAGCAAAGGAAAATGCATAATTAAAAAAAAGTTTGATTTAAGCGGGTGAGGTGAAAGAGAGCAGTTGTTCCATATTTAGAATTAAACCTTTAAAAACAGGTATAGCTGTATTATTTTTTCTTTGAAATGGAATTGGATGCTTTGAGATTTTCTTGATTAAATAATTCCAGATTTTAAAACAAATCAAAATATCAGTTGGGTTTTCAGCTCATAAAAGGTTCTTTTATGTTGACAGCCAGCTCCATGATCTTAAATACAATGTTTGCTCTTAGGTTAAGATGTTGTAAAGCCTTTTTTTGTTATAGTTACTGTAAAGGCAAGACAAATGGCATTTACTTTATTTAAGTACCTTGCCTAAATCAGGCATTCTGATATGAAAAATTATTTTGGTATTTGGTATTTTTGTATTTGATATCTGAAAGCTAATGAATTTAGAAATTGGAATTGGTCCTCCTATCTATGAAGGAGATGATTAAAAACCCAACGTGCAGAACAAGACAGATTGGATTGTGTGTGTTTGCAGACTGATCCTGCATTTCATGAGAGGCGAGTCTCTAGTGTCTTCTGTTGAGTGCAGGCGAAGGGGGTGGAAAGAGAAGGCAGGAATATTGTATTTATTTCACGGTTAGCGTGCGACTCTTGGATGGAGCAGAGAAGCTTGTGTACCAAGACGAAGACAAAGCAGTCAGTTAAGTCCCACATCAAAGTCAGTTAAAATTTGTTGGACTGTTAAGTAAGTCCAACACTTTGAGTTTGTTACTGGAGGGTATCCTGCCATTAAACAGCTGCCAGGAGCTGTGGTTTACACGCTCAGTCTGAGGTGACAAGGCACAAGTGGAGAATCTGGGAGTTGCGGGCTGCTTTGTAGAAGAAAAGTACCATTGTCCTGGGAATTGACTGTCCTGTACAATATTGCACACAAGCAGCGAAAGATATAAACATCTTCTGTCCTGGTAATTACTAACCTCAATTCTATTACTTTTGCCTGTTTTTGGAGAAACATTTAGAATCAGGTATAAATCCACTGTTATGCCACAAAAGCTTGTCTGAGCTGAGTTGGGCTGTGCGCTGTTTAAAAAACATCCCATTTTTGGGAATTAGGGATGTACTGTACATGGACTAGAGCCAAACAAATGCCTTTTTGCAATGACTCTGCTCAAATGACTGCTGCAATGACTTTTTGAAATAATCTACAGCAAAAACAATATTTTGGGTCTGTGACTGGCATATGAAGCTAAACACTGCTGATGACATAAATGATAAACTTTTTTGGGGGGTTTGTTATTTTGTCACTGTTAAACCTTTCAATACACAAAAACATGCTCCTGTATTTGCACACACTCTGTTAAAAGTCTGACTTTAAGGTTAAGCTTCCTCATACTGTCTGCACATTAATAGTTATCTGATGTCATCTGGCGTTTGCTTTGGTTTCTTTCTGCATGTGCCGTGTGCCTGTGTACAGCAAATCTGTGCTCTTCTCTTACCTCCACTTTGCCCAGCTGGAAAACCTGTATCTCGGGTTCGATTGCAGTTTGAGGTGGTTGTTTGAGTTTCCCTGTTCTTCGTGTGTTTACATGGATTTTTGGCAGGTACTGGAGTTTTTCATGGTTTTAATTTTATCCATCTTAATTACTGACACATTGCTGTAAATTGCTGCCTGTGGGTTGTGCTGCTGCACTTGTTGCACTGTGTGGGCCTGCTTTAGAGCAGTGCTTCCCAGTCCTGGTGCCCCACACCTGCTGGTTTTCATTCTCGCCCACCTTCAGAAGATACCTGAAGCCTTGTTTGGTTTAGGAAGTTGCTTTAATTGAATATGTACATATTTTATTATAATATTTTTGTTTCCAGTCACAAGTTTGAGGTTTTATTTCACTTATAAAATGCAGCAGTTAAAGCTCCGAAGATGTTTAAGAGCTGAGAATGAGTAGTTGTAATTAATCCTTACTGTTATTAAGTCTATGAACGGTATGATCGTGTAACTCAGAGCTCAGTTGGACTAAAAACCAACTTGTGTGTGGGTTTCCAGGACCAGGACTAGGAACCGCTGCTTTAGTTCAGACCATCAGTGGCTTTTTTATTCTTATGCAAACCACTAGAGGGCGATATCTCACTCTGCCACCATTTGTGACGAGCTGTGCCCGGGGCTGCACATCTCTGTATCCAGGATGGTGAGCTTTCAGTGGCTTTGAGATCAGGCGTCACTTATGACTGTTGCACTTTATTCTCTATCCTCCCTCCCTGCTCTATCTGTCACCAAGTCAGATGTCTGTTCAGGAGCACGGAAGCAAAACGAGACCAGATGTCTTTTCCCTCTGACCTTTAAGTTGTTTTCACACAGATCCTGACTGTTTAACTTCCTCCGCCAACACACCTTAAATAATTACTCCCTGGCTGTAGGTTACAGTTATTTAAAAAAAAAACACTTTTTTTTTCTATAACAGAGGTCCCCAGCACTCTGCCCGTTTTATGCTGAAGCTGTAGGCAGAGTAAAGCTCATCTCTGAGCTGCTCTTGCATTTTGTCCACCTGTGTAACTTAGAATTTGCCAAGTGAGCTATTTCTTTGATCTATTTTCTTGTGTGGAGATTCATGGAGAGTAATTACACAGTTGAAGTTTGAAGGGGACTTCCTATCCTGACAATACCTACTGTTCTGTTTGTCAGCGTGCATTCCTATTGATATGCCTCTAGGAGGCTGCTATCTGACTTATGAACAGAGTAAAAAATACCTGAAAAGTTTTAAACTGCACATCCCGAGAGACGTGATCTGGAAACCTCAAGATGATTTGAGTAGTTTTAAGCTTCTTTAGTGCCATACAGCATCCCAGAATATATGATACTCAATATCAGTAGAAAGCAAATGAGCTTCAGTTTCTTTTTACTCTTGATCTGGGCTCAATTAAACGGGCACGTACGAGACTATAATTTATCTGCAATGGAAATACAGCCAGAGCAGTGAGTGCTTTTTGGAGAGTTATTGAACAGATGGATCAGGAACAGTCTAAATCTCATTTTAGTTTATTACCCACTTTTATTTCCACTCCAAATAAAGTTTTAATGTAGTGTCCTCTCTCCTCTCTCTCTTTTTGTGTTTTTAGCTTCTTCTGAGCAACTATGAGATCTGCTGCCATGGATCATTTACAGATATGACCACAGGTAAGAGCTACTGGAGGGAAAGTGCGCTGTGAGGTTTTAAAGACAGATGGGATGTTACCTGCCCTGTCAAAGCCAAACACTTTGCAGTCAGTTCTCACTATTATATTATACCTGACTCTAAGCCTCTGAGAGAGAGTTTTAAAGGAGCCACAGTTAATTTGGAATTTCAATGTGAAAACCTTGAGTTTGGGAATTACCCATGAGGAAAGTAATACAGGGAAAAAACTGGGCCCAGATGAACAGCACAGTGCCTGAATTGGACCCCATGTGGAAAGAGTCTTTAATGTATTTAGGAAAGGGATGCAGAACACAGCCTCCATTGCTGCCTGATATGGTGACTTTAACTCCACCTGGGTTTTTAATTATCTTGGTTGAACGTAGACATAAACTGAATCATCAGAATCTCCAGCAGATTGTGCAAAAGTCATCAGCAGTCAACAGCATCACAGTGAGCAGCTGGAGGCTCCTTGGCGCCAGGGGCCCACAAGCTCACTCACATATCCACTTGGTCATCAGGGTGGATGGATTTACAGGATAATAGAACACTAGTGACAGAACTAGGGGCTACAGAGAACATGTGAATATATTGTGTAATTGAATGTATAGGTTTTGGGAAAAAAAATGATTTCACGAGAAACTACGAGGGAATATTCTGTAGAGAGAATTGGCCATCAGTTATATTCTGTATTTGAACGTGTAGTTGTAACATGTTTATTACAGATGAGGGTGTTATCTTTCTCATCTGTTCTACTCCAACGTTTACCATCAACTTCATAATTCAAGCCTTTTTGCCAAATAGATTTTAAAAAATTAGAGCAAGACTGGTCATGTGATAAGATTCAGAGATTTTGTTTTATGTAAGGTTTTTGCATTCCACAGCAACCTTTCAGTTTGGGATAACAATGCTTTTTTATTTTTGATTTGTGATCCTAAAAGCTGTGGTGTTTGAAGGCTTTGTGAAAAGCTCCCGTTCTTGCAGGACAAATGAATTTCCGCCTCCAGCAGAGGGTTGCGCTCCTGGATGAAGGCCTTCCCAATTCTGCTGTCAAACAGTTGTTTTTCTGTTGTCATCCTTCTTGCCTCTGAGAGGACTTCTTTCCTTGGCTGAACTCAGCCAGTGCTTCTCCATGCCTGTGTGTTTTCTCAGATTGTCTTCACTGTGTCTTATGGTAGAGCGACAGTATTGATCACGAGGCCTGAGGAGTCCTAGAATAAAATAAATGGATGTGGTTAAAATACGCAAATGGTGTCTTTTAAACTAGACATAGCAATGTTTTTTATGACTGGCCTGAAAGCATTCATTGATGTATTGTCCCAAGAACTGGACTAATAATGACGCACAAATCTTACTGTATAAAACATTTCTTTTCTGATGCACACAATAAATATTGAACACATTGCCTAAGAGACTGAAATATGGTAGTCTTGTTGGAGCAGCTGATACAAATTATGCCTGTATAATTTCACTGGTTTCTTAATGGTATTTGTCCTCTCATCTAGTCTGAACTTATTGATTGCATAGTATAGTAGCTTCCAAATTCATTTATACTCTTGGCAATGAAACTGTAAGTTGTTTTGGCAAAAGAAAAATGAAAAGTATGTGTTGCATTAATAAATGAAACATGACAAATTTAAAGACTCTCTGAATTGGATGTCACAAAAGCAAACCTGAACAGCATAATTGTAGATGTTTTATAAATGTAAATTCAGCATTATTCACACCCCAGAAATCAATATTTCTTTGAATCTCTGTGTCTTTGTTGAGAGGATGAAAGGTGCCTGCTCCAGTCTTTTAATAGGTTCATACACTTCTCAAGTCTGGGTATTGTGAAACCATTTGGATTAGTCCTACAGATTCGTAGCCTGCTGGAAAGTCCCATTGCAACCAGTATTAAACCAGACGTTTGTATAAGATATTAGGATATACATTGATAACCCACGCATTGCTCAATTCTGTCAAGGACCCGTGGCCAGAGGCTGCAGAATATCACCCAAATAGAACACTCTGTACTCGCCAACATTCGCTTCACCTTCCTATGCTAACCACACCACATGTCCAAAAACTCAATCCGTGATCCAGTCAATAGCTCAGTTTGGAGCAGGAGTCAGTCAGCTGGAGTCTGGCAAATTCACGTGTTCTCTCACTAGATTCATGAGCTCGGCCTCAAAATAGCGGTCTTGGCCGATTGTATCCCGATGATGTTGGAGTCTTGGAAGAGTCACAGCTGTGGCCCTCATGTGAGGGCCACTTTTCAGACCGCAATTCTTGGGTAAAATGTTCTTTCTTCCTTTTCTTCATTCACCACACTTAAACCATACCTTTTTATGGATTTTATGGATCACTACAGTAGTTGAGATTGATAGTCCTGTACCTTAGATCTGTGGACAATATCTGATTTTCTCCATGATGATATGGTACTGATATTAATGTACAGTAACAATGTTAAAGACTACCAGAAGGTTCTACTTTCTGAGGCTTTGTGAAAGTACTGGCTAAATAAAAACATTAGGTTAAATAAAAACATTAGGATTTATTTTCAAAAAGTTAAAATATTTTAAGTAGTGTGCATTTACAGTATGTAATTAGTTTTGACATTTATGTTATCCCACAGGATGTTCATATGTTCACATACCTTTAAAGTCCTGCTTTTCCAGTCACACTGAAAAGTAAATAGAAAGGAAAACACAGTGTTTTGGTTGAGTTTTCTTCAGGTATGAGCAGAAGGCCAAAATATTATTGAACTAATAATCCCATCCAGACAATTCTTATGGGATGTCAGTGTCTTGTTTTGAACAACATGACTGGGCAGCTTTGTATAAAGAAGTGCTTCCTGTTCTGTGTCCTGAATTAATCTTCCCTTGATTTTCATTTTTGTCCTCAGGTCATCGTGACTTCAATGTGGCTACTGCAATAGTCTGTCAACAGGCTGTCTCCTCTGATTATTGTTTCAGCTGAGTTCTAAAGTGCAGACTAATCTTCCTGTTGTGTTTGATAAGGATTTTTAGATTTGCTTTAATCTCTTAAAAATGTTGAATGGTTGGTAATTGACATCCACCCTGTACCATTTTCTGTTTTAGAGCTCCTTCTTTCAGGTGTGTTTGCTGCAATGCAACTAACTGTACTTGTAATTGTAGGAATCTTTGGTACTGTAGATAATGTTTATCGTTTATCATGTATTCATAGGGGCTGGCCACCACTGGCCTATTGGATTATCTTTGTCCAAGTCTCATGATTTTGAAAGGTCAGTGAATTACAGAATTCCCAATGGTCATGACAGCAAAATCACTGCTGACCGCTGTTGTTCCCCTTTGCAGCTCATTGCTCAGATCAGCAAGGTTTTGATTGCTTTGATATTTTAATTCCCAACAACTGGGGATTACTGAAGAAATCACATAGAAGGTAATTTGTTCTTTGACTGGGGGTAATGCAGACTAAACCAAATTAGGTTGTAGCCTCTCTGCGTGTATTTTCAAGTGTCCTCTTTCTGCAGGGTTTGTGTTTTTTGCTGTGCAGTAAGGGGCAATTTGAGCTTGTGCAATTTTGAAGGAGGGCAAAACAAGACAGACTTCAGAGAAAAATGAAAATCTGGAACTGGAAGACACTTTGCACATGAGAGCCTCACAGCACGTCTGTCTCCATTGACAACCATACTTGGATTTTCTACTGTTTCAGACATGGCAGGAGTTACTTTTCAAAGAAATCTCTTTTGCTTTTGGAATGGGCTCCTTATTTTTTTCATTCTGATTTCTTTTTTGCGGATTAATTTCCCTGTTATTTGCATGGAAAATAGTGCAGAGTTGAGTATAAGCTGTTAACACCACTTTAATGAATGCAAGGAATGTGCTGGCTGTAAAGAGATAATGCATTTGTTTGCACAGATTGAAAATGTCAAGCAAGGTACATTAATTTATGAAAAGCCATCTTGCAGGTGGATTGAACATTTTATTCAAAAATTAATCCTGTCTCCACCAGAGACAGGATCCTGCAGGCCTTTGAAATGGATTTTGTGTGCGGATTCAGCCGGGACACGGGGCTGGGAAGTGAATGAAAAGTGCAGCTGCATGCCTTTTAAAATGGACGGTGGATTTTGTTGGAAGGAAAATGTTAGTGAATCTAATGCTACATCTTAGTGTCTGCATTACAGATTGGTTGTACTTTTTTCAAAAGCTTAAAGGTCCTTGAAATTATGCACTATAGCAGAAAGCTAATACATTCTCAAGCACACATAGCATTTAATAATGTAAAGGAAGAAGTAATAGGTTTATTCCATGATGAAAAGAGAAAAAAGAAAACAACGTTTCAGCTGTGAAGAAGGCTCCACAGCCGAAACGTTGTGTTTTCTTTCTTCTCTTTTCAGCATGGAATAAACCTATTACTTGTTCCTTTGCAGCCTACGTGGTGTGGTAAGAACCTTTGTTCAGAATTCGGTTGCCTTTTGGTGCCTGTACATTGTCCACAGTCAGTCATGACTTGTTTTATTTTTCTGCTTTGCCCTTAAACCCAACTTGACGTAGTCTTTAATTGTTCAGTGTAGCAAATGTAATGCAGAGATACAGTACAGATAGGTTTTCCATATCTTCTTACAATGATGTGCATCTTTGCTGATAACTCTCTGGGGATTGTGTTAGAATGCTTTTTGGTCTCTTATAAGACATTTTAGATCAGTATACACTGCTCATTTGGAGCTCTTTATCTGCAGATGAAAGTCTAGATGGCCCCCTGGGAAGAGAACATGTGATCTTTATCATTAGGATAATTGTTAGATCACTTTTCCTTTCAGCATTGGTAAAAGACTGGATTTGAACATTTAGATTTCTATTACTCTTCAGTGTTTTTACCCTACGTGCTTTTTGTAGAAATGCAAGCTGACTTAAAATTAAATCATTTTAATATGGACTTAAAACATCTCTGAGATTCTATCTATATACAGTAGGTACCCGGAAAAGGAAAATGTCTTGACACATGATTTTAACAGACATTGTTTTTTTTTTATTTTCAGATAGAGCAGCTATAACAGAGATAAATGTAGCTAATAATCTATAAAAGATTCGCTCTTCCCCAGTTCCTGCCAGAGGTGTCAGAGTGTGTCACTGCCAATGCAGAGAGAATCTGCAAACAGATTGTAGATCTGGGGAGACAAATTGCATTGTTAGCTTTAATTGCTGAGCATGTCTGTACTGCCATACAATTTTTAATTCCCCCAATGGATTTCTCTTTCAGTGATCAATAATCCTTATGTATAATGAGGTTTCTTCAAAATTCTCTTTTTCACTGGTCTTAAGGAAAAGAAGAGCTGAAACTAATTATATGTTTTGTAGATTATTGAAGTCCCAGGGGCACTATTTTGACCGATAGCCATGGAATAGAAAGTTAAGTCTCATATATTTAAAAAATAAATGGAATCCTTCTCTCAAGCATGCTGACGCTTTGTTTCTCCAGCGCTGCCCATTACTAGCTCATCTGTTCCTTTATTTATTCCCACAAACTATTCATAGGGAGAGGTGAATGTTTTGGGGATGCCCCTGACCATAGTTTCGGGTTCCCTGTAGCTGTACTTTTACACTCATAGTGGGCAAACGGTACACCAGAGGCTGGCAGAGTTTCAGTAGTCTAAACAGGTGTAAAAGTGGGAGTCCAACTTCACAGTAGATGGAGATATTAGCTTTGTTAAGTGCCTTGGGGCAACCTTGTTGTGAAAGGCGCTATATAAAGATAAATTGAACATTTCTGTATCTTGAATTAAATATACTGATACTTCACATTCACATATATTTGAGTAGCATCTTAACTCCATGCTTGTTGATGCTGTTTTGAACTGAAAGTGTTTTTTTCTATAGACTGCAATAAATCACACCAGTTTGGTGCAGCCAGAAATTCTGATACCTAATGAGAATCTCCAGATGGGTGAAGAAGACACTTCAGAAGCTCAGAATTACTTACAGTATACACTGTTATGCAGCATCATGTGCTCCAATTATATTAGCGAGTTAATAGACATGTTCCTCATTCTACTCTTTTGGAGGAGCCAGGAGTTAATGTTGGTCAGGAGACATTCTTGTCTTGTCGCGGCCAGTCAGCACCCACAGGATCTCCCAACCGCTGGTGACAGGACGCGGAGTCTTGATTAAAACTCTCCAGGCTGTGGGACTCTGTATTCCAGTCAGACTTTTGTCTGGTATTAATAATACTTGTTTTTTTGCAAACGCTTTAACCCTAGGCAGTTTTCAGATGATAAAGCATGAAATATTCTATTCAGTAGTAAGTGCTGCAGTAAAGACACTTTTAACAGGAGCTTTGTTCTGGATCTCAGCTGAAGAATGTGGTACAGCAGGGTCCAGTACCTCACTCATGGTGACACTGAACCAGTGGCACAGCCAGGACATCAACTGGAAACCTGTTGACAGACCCTCTGGCTTAACTCTTGGAATTCCTGTTTGCTTGCTAAGCTCCTTACGATCCCTTGTTTGTAACAGCCATGTGCTTCTTTGTGTTTCAGGGCAGCTGGAGTGGATGGTGGAGCTCTGTGGAGCAACTGTGGCTAAAGAACCCTTCCTCTTCACCTATAACCCGGTAAGCCCACACAGCAGGGACCCTTCCCAGCTGCAGAGCCCTCCCTTAGCTGGGGCCCAGCTTTGTAAAGAAATCTGTCTGCCAGTCACCGGGAGAACTGAGCTCCTGTTTATTTATTTCAATAGCAATTTCTGGTGCTTCTGTTGGGATACGTATTAGGGATTTTAGTCATAGATTTAAGTGAGTGGGGAAAGTTGGAATTCTAAAAGGAGTTATTATAGAGTTCTGTGAAATCTCTAACTTTTACTCTTAAAAAAAAGTTTCTGTTTGGACATCTGGATGTTCTGGGGATAATTATTAGATATTGTACAGCTTTTTTATTAAAAAAAATCTTAAATAGTATATTTAGAATATATAATATAATTAGAATATAATATGTATTTCTCCTTCGCTGTGAATACCCCTTCTTGTTTGTGTCTAGTTAGTCCATGATAGATGTTCTACTGAAATGAGCTCCTTATGTATACTTTGAGACTAGATGAGAATAGCTAGGTACTGTAGGGTCTGTAAATCAAGGAGCAGGTTTTAATTCTAATGATTCAGAACATTAGGGATTGTTAATTTGCTTTGCAAACATTTTTTGAGGATCTTTACAGAAGGTCTCTTGTCAGTGGACTGGATCATGCGTAAGACAACATTAAATGACACAGAAAGGGACCATTCTCTGCACTTTAAAAATGATGTGCTGGGATAGAAGCTGGCTATTTAATCATCTTAAGTTAATAAAACTGCTGATTACCTTTGTTAGTATTCTAAAGGTTTGCTGAACAAAATTATAACTTTAGAACATTTCTGTATTTAAAATTAAAATATTTTAAAAATCTGAATGTATTGAGCTGCACAGCTTATTCATGAGTAAATACATTTGTTTTATGTTACAAATACTGCAATAACTAAGTAAAAGCAACACCAAAACATTTTTATCCAAGACAGCTTGCAGTTTAGGGCGAAATTGATTTAAATGGATTTAAGGGATACTTCAAAGGGATTTGTTTTACTTGTTTTAGGGAAGAAAAAATAAACAAAACCAGAAAAAAATCTAATGGTGCTTTTCATGCAGCATTTCTTAGATTGGGAGGAAGAAAGGTTACATATAAATAGGGTTCTTGATGTGACCTCCTGCATGTCGTATTTAATTACTACACATTATTTTAAGTCATTTTATCTTGAGTTTTGTGCTAGAGGTTAACTAAAGTTAACTCTTAGTTTTAAAAGGCTGAACGTGGAGAGATGTTTGGACTAGTTTATTTGAGTTATCATCAGGGTTGGGAGCTGTAGTGAGTGCTCCTTACCGCCTGCAGGTGGACAAGGTCTTAGCCATTGGATACGGACTCAGCTGGTTATTTCACTCCTGATAGGGTCTGTCAGTGGCTCCCTCAGTCCCGCATACTTTTGGAATGAAATTGAACTCTGTCCCAGAAAAGGACACAACAGTACACCTGTTAATGTTACATTAAAGGGACAGTAACCTTTAAGTATACCATACAGGTTTGGGTGTGCAATGAGACTGTGTGCTTTGCAGCTGGTTGTTTTCTTGGGGGTCTGACATGTGGCTTGTGTGTATTTACCTCTTTCACCATGTCCGCTCCAGGAGCTCATCCAAGTGGTTGTGGTGCAGCCCGAAGCAGAGGAATCACAGACAGATTACAAAGGTGAGGAGTAAGTTCATGCACCCTTCTTCCTAGTTTCAGCATTCTGCTCCCAAAGGGTTGGCAAATTGGGCAGCTTACAGTATGTCACAAATTTTAATAGGACCTTCAAAGACTAACGGATAGCACTCTCAGTTGTTCCATGTACCATATTCACAGCCAACAGGTTTAAGTATTCCAAAAACAACATGTGGAATTGCTCAGCTTTTTAGCAATTACAGCAAACCACTGTTAAATGAATTGACTGCTTGTGGTCTGATCTAAAGTTAAGGCCCTTGTTATACAAAGCTGTCTGCTGGTTCTTGCATTCCTTGTGACCCGTTGACTTATGTAAGCTTTCTCGCAGTGCGATCTGTCAGGGCTCACTGCATTCTGTTCCCAGCAGCATCCAGTCAGCTCACTGATATGCATCTCATGACTCTTTTTGCTGTTTGATGAATAAATGGTTGAAAATAAGACTATAAAAAACACAGCTTCCCAAACAGGATTCAGAAGCACTGCTTCTTTTTTTAAAGTTTAAAAACCAATTGAAAGATTTCATATTTAGAAGTGAGTAAGATTATATTCATTTGTGTTTCTGTGAAACCTGACCATTGATAATTAAGACTTGTTGACAAAAAAAGACAAAGTGGAAAAAGGCCATTGCTATTCCTCTGGAGCATCTATAATTTTACGTGACATACTTTTCAAAATTAGATTAACATCAGTTTGTGTCAGTCCTCTGTGTGGTGTAACTGGTAAAATCCACCACAGTGACATCAGAGCTAACAGACTGCTATGATTTATGTTGCTACTACGTTGACACCGAAAAAGGGCCTACTAGCATATAAAAGTAAGTAACACACTGCTACACATCTAGTATGTCAAAAAAACACATTTCAGGGCAGCTAGTCCATTAAAATCTAGTCACCATTCAACTTCATCCTTTCTTTTGTAAACCGCTTGTGTCAAGGCATACCTTTCTATCCATAATCCCCAAGCACATTCACAGCAAGCCCCAGCAGAGCAGCAGCCCAGCCAAGGGGGCGGCCTGCAGGCATCACTGTCTTACTGTCTTACTGTCTTACTCAGCGGGGCTTGACGACAGAGGGGCTGCATGGACATGGATTCAGTCTCTTCTCTTGTCCAAAAGGCCAAAGAACAAGCTGGGAAAACGACACAAAGGGAAATTATCTCATTTTAAACACAAGTACAATGCTGGGAGGTGCAGAATGTATCCCTGGCACTAATCTTCAATTTCTGCCCACATTCACTTCACCTCTGGGATCAGCCATGGGGAATGTGCTGTTGTCTGTCTACAGCAGGTGACATTTTTACTCCGTGCATTTCTTTCCATGAATTTACGAAAACACACAGATTTTCTTCATGTGGGCAAATGCCACTTACATAATTTCACCTACCCTTTGGGTATTGACATTTATACCTTGTTTGCTCTCACTCTTATTTTGTCAGAGCACTCTGCATTATCCTGCTGTATAATTTATATTTTCATTGTCAAACCAGAGCACTAACCTGTAGCATGATAAATATGTAATGAACTAGTAGCTCTGCACTGCAATCCTCAATGTCTTTTGTTCCATATTCATGGGTTATACTTCTATGATTACGCTCTGTAGAAATAGATTGGGTAGCTTGTGCTTTCAATTTTTGCAGATCTCAAGTCACCTTTTCTTCTGTTCAAGTGATAAGAGGTCAGATTGGCACACTTTTCAACAGTGAGCTTTGAATACAAGGGGCACTTCCCAATGCATAACTTAAGAGTGCTGGGGATGGCTTTAACAGAAAACTGCCTGAACAAGAATCTCTTGTTTATGGAGGCCTCAAGTATATTTAGTGGCTTTGAAGTGGCTCAGTTTGTAATGGCACTAGCACTTAGATTGAACCCTACAGTGCAGACACCACTCATTCAAGTGTAGCTTCTGTCAGCAGCTGGTACTGACGGGGGTTCTCCAGCCCAGTGTAATTGGGGGGTAGAACGTAACCTTGACGTTCCACAAGCGTGATGTTGACCCTGGAGTGTTGCTTATGGGAGCTGCATCACCTCTTCAGCCTGTGCTCACTCTAAAGATTGTAAAGTGCTGTCTATAAGAAATGCATGCTTCCCGTGACCGGTGCCCAATCTGAAGTGTGGCTGTGAGGTTCACAGTGTAAAAAATGGCAGGTGGCTTAATGGCAGTGATCTGTCCTCACTCCTCCTGTGCTGGTATGAGACTCACTTGCAGTGAGGTGACTAGATTGGCAGCTTGGCGGTACCATATTGGGAGAAATGATTGATTCCTAAGTTGAAACAAAAATATTGACATAAAAGTGGCTAAACTTGATTTCAGAAGTTGTAGAGTGGGCATCTCTTTACACACGCAGCTCTGTAGTTTCTCACAGTGGGAAATCAGACCCCTGTTTTTTGACTCTCCACAGCTCTCCAGAGGAAGTACAGTGCCAGAGTCGTGACAAGAGAGTGGGTGCTGGACAGTGTGGCTCTTTACAGCTGCCAGGCCTTGGACTCTTACTTGGTGAAGCCACTCAGCTGAGGAACTGGTGAGACCTGGAGAGGCTGCCTGGACCCCAGCACAGTGCACATACAGCTGCTCAAACCAGCTCTGGGCTAGGAGTCTTCTAAACCAGTTAGCAATTAAAGAGTTATTTTCTTGTCCAGTAGTCCAGTGAAATTGGTTGTGAAGAGAGGTAAGAGACTGCTTTTGTTCTTCTTTCAGCCTCAGTGTAGTTGATAATATTCAGTAGTTGAATCCAGTACTTCTGTACATCTTCTAACAATAATTGTATTCTACTGTAGAAGATGCACATTCATGAGCTGTTGTGATATTTCTGTACAACTCATAGCATTACAATCCAAACATTTTTCATTATTATCAGACCTAGTGCATTTGTGGATGGATAAGCAAAAACAAGGTTAAAAAAAATCCGAAGTGGATCATCTGGGGAGAATTTTATTTTTATCCTTTTTTCCTACACTATGTGAAAATATGTATAATTGTCCAATTAAAATTAATTATTGAGAATAAAGGGTTGTAAAATGGTTTAATGTCTGTTTTATGTGTTATGAGGCAGTGAAGAAACATCAGTGATAGTATCTGCCTAAAAGAGGTGCTGCTGTACATTTAGACCTGGGGATGCCTGTTATCCTGCAGTCCTGTAGTGTGCTTTGTTGGGAGTTAATGAAAACTCAGCAGGAAACCCAAGCCCTCTATTAATTAAACGTCGGAGATGCCGTAGGCTTAGCTGAAATAAATCATAAACAATGACAAAAAACAATTATTTAGCCTCATTGTGAATATACAATCAGTCATTTTGAAAAATAATATAAAGTGGCACCAATGCGACTTTTCAGAATATTCCTCTTTTTATGATATGGCTGGATAAAAGCAGGCATACTGTTGTCAATTCTACTAGTCTTTTGGCACAACTGTAATTTTGGTTTTGTACCAAAGTGTTTTTTTTTTCGGATACATAAACCTTGTTTTGCTTATGGGTTGTTGCAAGCTGAGCAATAAGAGATTACTGTAGCACCCTTTATTCTTTAAACAAAATAGTTCAGAGGAAAAATGTTTAAATAGTAGAAATTGAGTTAATTCCTCTGCACCTCAGAAACCCAGTTTGTTTCTTATCAGCCCATTTGGCCAGTTGTCTGATCACTCATACAGCTGGTCCTCCACACTGCAGTACTGTCCCTCAGAGCTCCTGGTGTTCAGCACTGTCCCTCAGAGCTCCTGGTGTTCAGCACTGTCCCTCAGAGCTCCTGGTGTTCAGCACTGTCCCTCAGAGCTCCTG